ATCATGTCCCCAAGAATTGTAGGAGGCTTCTTAGGAAGCAGGGAGCCCCTCTCAAAGGTTTCCATTGCTGTGTGATCGGCGTTCATGGCGTGGCGTGCTGGCCACCCTCGCAGCCCGGCATCCCGTCAGCAGCATTAGCCAGCCCACACCACCCCAGAAATTATCGCTGAGGCAGAAACGAATTTGGCAATAGCCACCTCTTACCCAATGTCTCGTGCCTAAAAAGATAAGTATCAACTATTTCAAAGATGAAAACTAGCAGATTTTCATGATAAGTGGGACCTTTCTGTCTTTACTTCCCACGGAGAGCCGCCAAATCTGTCAGGCTCGTTCCCACCTTTTCTGACTGCCTCGCTTTCCATAAACCTGAGCCCAGGGTTTTCACCCCTCAGCTGTCTGGTAAAGACAGAATTTTATGGTGACTGGCCAGGGAATGAAAGTGTCATATCTCCCTGTATGTGAGGGACACTAGAGAATTATGTCTGGTGCGTTCAAACCCTTCTTGTCACTTAAGACTATACAATTATTGATGCATATAATATATCTCTGGGAAATAGAAAAAGTAGGAAATATCTCCATATGCTTTAAAATACAATGACTGGGTTTTTTTCCTGCCAACAAGTGAATGCTAAGCCATGGCTTTGATTTTGACAAGGCTCTCAAAATTTGCTACATGGAAGCCAGTTGAGTCTTGAATGGTATTCTTTAAACAAAAATTCCAGTTAATTAATGTACAGAAAATAATGTAAAAAACAGTAGCTAATCACCCAGCTCAGCAAAATATGTAACACATTTCCACATTTGCTTTCCATCTTTTTTTTTTTTTTTTGAGACAGTGTCTCACTGTGTTACCCAGTCTGGAGTGCAATGGCGCGATCTCAGCTCACTGCAACCTTCACCTCCCGAGTTTGAGCAATTCTTCTGCCTCAGCCTCCCGAGTAGCTGGAATTACAGGTGTGCACTACCATGTCCGGCTAATTTTTGTATTTTTAGTAGAGATGGGGTCTCACCATGTTGGCCAGGCTGGTCAACTCCTGACCTTAAGTGATCCGCTTACCTCGGCCTCCCAAAGTTCTGAGATTACAGGCGTGAGACACCGCGCCTGGCCCTTTTTTTTTTCTTTCTTTTCCTAAGAGACTCTGTCTCCCAGGCTGGAGTGCAGTGGTGCCATCATAGCTCACTGCAACCTGGAATTCCTGGGCTTAAGCCATCTTCCCACCTCAGCCTCCTAAGTAGCTGAGACTACAAGTGTGTGCCACTGCGCCTGCTAATTTTTTTATTTTTGTTTTTGTAGAGACAAGGTTTCACTGTGTTGCCCAGGGTAATCTAATACCTGGCCTCAGGCAATCCTTCTGCCTCAGCCTCCCAAAATGCTGGGATTATAGGCATGAGTCGCCACACCCAGCCTGCTTTAGATCATTTTTATGTAAAGTAAATCATTACGGTTATTGCTGAAGACCACCCTCGTGAACCCCACCCTGCCCATCCCTTCCTCCATTCCCCAAAGTAAATACTGTTCTGATTTTGATTTTTTTCTCATATGTGTTTTGATATGTTATATGTGTATATATTCACAAATGATATATGATTTTGTTTTGCATATTTTAAAACTATGTAAATGGCATTAGACATATCATTTCCCCACTTGCTTTTTTTGCCCAACTTACTGTTTTCTGAGATTTATGCATGTTGATGCATGCTGTGTGCACCCATTCATTTTAACCTCAGCATCATACTCCACTGGACGAATGCGCTGTCATTTGTTCATTCATTCCACTGTTGATGGACGTGTAGGTTGTTTCCAAACTTTTGCTTTTATAAATAGCAGATGCAGGGAACGTTTTTACGTGGGCAAGAATTTCTCTAATGGATATAAGTATAAATGCTGTTACGGGTTATATACATCTCCAACTAAGGAAATGTCACTAAAATTCCCCTAACGTGCTTGAACTAACTTCTGTTCTCACCACGAGTCTGCATTTCAGTGTGGCTGTGCCCATGCTAGATTTATCACCTGTTTACCTCTAACTCTGATGGGTGTATTATGGACATCTGTGGCTTTAATTTGCATTTCTCAATTACTAATCAGGTGACGTGTCATTTCATATGCCTTTCCGGCATTTGAGTTTCCTCTTTTGTGAATCCAGTGTTGGTAGTGTTTGCCTGTTGTGAATCCAGTGTTGGTAGTGTTTGCCTGTTGTGAATCCAGTGTTGGTAGTGTTTGCCTGTTGTGAATCCAGTGTTGGTATTGTTTGCCTGTTGTTGTGTCGCTGTTGGGATAGTTTGTCCTTTTCCTGTTGATGTGTAGGAATCTTCATGTTCTGAACCCCGTTCCCTTGTCAATGTTGCACATATCTTCTCCTGATTTGTGTCTTGTCTTTTACTTTGTTTGTTTCTTCTGATATAGACTCCTTTCATTTTAGGGAAGGTGGTTCATTTTTTCTCATGGTTGACATTCTTCTCCACCCATAAGCAATGAAAATAATCTCTGTATTTTCTTCCTCTTTTTTTTTTCTTTTTTTTTTTTTGAGACAGTGTCTTGCTCTGTCACCCAGGCTGTAGTACAAACCTCCCAGGTTCAAGCGATTCTCCTGCCTCAGCCTCCCGAGTAGCTGGGATTACAGGCATGCACCACCACACTCGGCTAATTTTTGTATTTTTAGTAGAGACGAGGTTTCTCCATGTTGGCCAGGCTGGTCTCGAACTCCTGACCTCAGGTGATCCACCTGCCTCAGCCTCCTAAAGTTCTGGAATTACAGGTGTGAGCCACTGTGCCCTGTATTTTCTTCTTAAAGTTTTTCTTTGTATATCTAAGAATTTAATCCACTTGGAATGCTTTTGAGGCTTGTACTGGGCTCCTCGGAGGAAGAGCAGTAGTCATTTCCACTGTAGTTCTGGAAATTGTGCTTACGCCAGGCTCTTCATGTGGGCTTGGGCAATCTGTGCCATTCCCCCTCCTGGAGGTTTACATACCATTTTCTCTGAGCCCTTGGCCTTTTCAACAAAGTAGACACTGGGATAGTAAGAATTTCCATCTCTGGAAATCCAGAAAGGTCCAAAATGCCCTGCACTTTGCTGGCTACAGTTGAATGACCTGTGTGGTGCAGGCCTTTGACTAGCTGCAGAACCACGTGAAATTGCTCTGACCGTGGTGTAATTCCTTACCACATCTAAATTATTCCACATGAAACACTGACGTCTTCCCCATGTTTCTACCACTGTCAAAATTATAATTGCCTTAACCCTTAAGTTCACAGTATCTCTCATTACTTAGTTTCTCTTTAGTCATTCGTTCTTCTGTCCAAAGCAAAGTAAATGGGAAATTGGAGGATGCAGAGTGTCGCGGGGCCTGAAGAATCCCATTTCTCACCTGCCTGATAGGATGACAGAAGGCTTTCCCAAAGAAGCAGGCAGTGGCAGAGTACAGGCCTTGCCCTGAACATACGTTTGGCCGTTATCGCTGGAGTTTAGTGGTGGCATTGGGAGCTGTCACCCCACTGCCGCCGTTGTCTGCTTGGTGACCATGTGGTTCCATTCTCCTAAGCCATCTCAACAGGCCAGAGTACACCCTTCTGGCTTCAGCCATTTCTCTGCTCCCTGGTTGCCAAAAGCAACAGCAGCAGCAGAGCAGGGCAGTCAGCAGGAGTCAGTGTGAGCTCGACGCCAAAACCACCCAGGGACATTTACCTGGCAAGCGGAAATGGAATTCCAGCTTCCCGTCCACCTTTTGTCTAACCCCTTACCTGGCAACCGGAAATGGAATTCCAGCTTCCCGTCCACCTTTTATCTATCCCCGTCTGTCGCATGAGATGAGTCTGGCGAGTTGTTAATCCTCTGGAACTTTTTCTCATCTGTAAAATGGGAACGATAAATAACCTCCAGGGTAGGTAAGGCCTTACACGGATTAAATGCGACAAAACGTTCCTCATGTCATTCCCAGCAGTCAGTGGGCCTTCGGGACTATGGGTGTCCTTCTAGATAATTGGCATCCCAGAGAACCAGAACAAACAGAGGAAAAGGTAGATTGTTGCCAGGATACAATGTTTACATTTGGGTAAACCTCCTACATCCTCAGTAACATCCAGAGAAATTCAAAGTACAACGATAATGAGTTACTCTTTTTTGTGTAATGAATAATCAGGATTTGATGAGTTTTCAGTGCTGATAAGGGTGCAGTCTACACTGCTGGCAGAGGTGTAAATGGGTGCATTCCATTGGAAAGATCTTAAAGTTTACACCGCCGCACACATCACAGAGTACTGCAGAACCATTAAAAATCACTGTTCTTCTTTAGAGATAGGATCTTGCCGTGTGGCCCAGGCTAGAGTGCAGTTAAAAACCATGATTTGCTTTTAAAGACTACAAAGATGGGAGAGTAGAATATAAAAATTGTATATATTAAGTGAGAAAAACAGGTTATAAACTGGTATACACGTACAGTATAATTCTGATCTAGTTTTATGGACGGGTTGTCATTTGTTTTTGAGACAGCGTCTCCCTCTATCACCCAGACTGGGAGAGTTACCGTGGCACAATCTTGACTCCCTGCAGCCTCAACCTCCCAGGCTTAAGCAATCCACCCACCTCAGCCTTCCCCAGTAGCTGGGACCACAGGTGCGCACTACCATGCCTGGCTAATTTTTGCATTTTTTGTGGAGGCGGGGTTTTGCCGTGTTGCCCAGGCTGGTCTCAAACTCCTGAGCTCAAGCGATCCTGCTGCCTGGGCCTCCTGAAGTGCTGGGATTACAGGTGGGAGCCACGGCTCCTGGCCCCCGATTCAGTTTTTTATAGACGTACAGTAGGCCAGCTCCTTGATGTCGTTTTTCCTAGGTAATGGGAATTCTACCTAATTTTTTTCTTGTATATTTCTGTTTATTTCCCAAATTTTTTGCAACGAGAATGTGTTACGTGTATAGTGAGAAAAACATGACTCGTTGACCTGGGTCCACTCGGCACTGGGTCGCTGGAAGGGGCCGGTAATGCTCTGCTTTGCTCCACAGCTGCTGCTGGACACCCACTCGCTGAAGATGGTCCTGCTCGATCTCCCCTCCATTGGCTCGCAGGTGGTGAGGAAGGCACCCGCCAGCTACACCAAGATTGTCGTCAAAGGCATGACCCGGGCTGAGATGATCCTCAAGGTGATGGCTTGTGTCTTTCCCGGGGATTCTGTTACAAGGGGCCGGTTATTCAATCTCTTTTTCCGAGAAGCTTTGGTTCTGAAAGCACAAGGTGGGTCCCGTCCTCACCGGCCGCAAAGCACGTCCACCTTCTTGGGCTGGACTGGATTTTGGCCTCATCAGATGTTGTTGAAAGTCTGTGGATCGTTACTAGGGCTCAGGAATTCCTTCTGACAGATGAATTTCTTGTTGTTGTGGGATTCTCTTGTGAGCAGATGCAGTCAAGCCTGGAGGGCAGGTGGTCGCCACGGTGAGTCAGTGTATGTCAGGGCTCTGCTTCCCAGCAGGAATGTCAGGCACAGCCCTCAGTCCCTCCCTCCACATCAGCCTTTCTGGCTTTCTGTACTCTGCCACTTTACATGGACTCTGAACAGATGTTGTAGTAACTGAATCTAATCAGCAAATGGATTTTTAAAAGCTCCATTTAACAAAAGACGGTACTTTGGGTGAGGAACGTCTGAAGCCCTGAGCATCTGCCTCTGGTTTCCAGCTATTTGGAAGAGCGGGGATGAGGCCTGGAGAACAGATGGTCCTGTGGTGATATGGTCTTAAAAGCCCAGGACCTGTAGGCTCTTCAGGACACTTCCTAAACCAGATGACTCAGGGACGGCAGGAGTAGGAAGTGGCAGCAGGGCATCAGTCACCGGTGGGATGTGGGTGAGGATGGAGCAGCCCGTGTGTGTGAGGATCGAGCAGCTCGTGTGTCTGAGGATGGAGCAGCCCGTGTGGGTGAGGATCGAGCAGCCCACACGTGTGTGTGAGGATGGAGCAGCCCGTGTGGGTGAGGATGGAGCAGCCCGTGTGGGTGAGGATGGAGCAGCCCACACGTGTGGGTGAGGATCGAGCAGCTCGTGTGGGTGAGGATGGAGGTGGGTGAGGATGGAGCAGCCCGTGTGGGTGAGGATGGAGCAGCCCACACGTGTGTGTGAGGATGGAGCAGCCCGTGTGGGTGAGGATGGAGCAGCCCGTGTGAGTGAGGATGGAGCAGCCCGTGTGGGTGAGGATGGAGCAGCTCGTGTGTGTGAGGATGGAGCAGCAGGATGGAGCAGCCCGTGTGTGTGAGGATGGAGCAGCCCGTGTAGGTGAGGATGGAGCAGCCCGTGTAGGTGAGGATGGAGCAACTCGTGTGTGTGAGGATGGAGCAGCCCGTGTGGGTGAGGATGGAGCAGCTTGTGTAGGTGAGGGCAGAGCAGCTCATGTGGGTGAGGATGAAACTGCCTCATCATATTCTTCCCCTGCTGCTTACTGCTGGGGAGGAGAGCATGCGGTCTGGGAATTATCTGCAGAGGATGCCTGAGTGAACTCCTCCTTGCCATTCTTTGGTTCAGCCTCAGGAATTCAAAACAAATCAGTCTGCTGGGGAAAGAAAATCAGATACTGCGTTCCAGAACCAAATGGAAATGAATGAGGGTTGCAGTGCAGTTCCTTTGTTTGTGTGTTAATTGATAGTTTAACTGAGTTGTTACGTGAAGTTCCAGATTTTAAATCTTCAAAAAGGTGAGGCAGCTTTGGCATTTTTGTTTTTGCAGAAATCCACTTACTTATACCAGCTCTTTTTGCCACCCATTTCTCAGGAATCACAGTACGTCAAGGCAGAAGGATCAAGTACCGTGTACCCGTGAAATCCTCCAGCAGGGACCCTCTCACGCAGGGTTTCCCAAATGGTTCCGATAGTTTAAAAACCACCTGGGACCCCACCCAGGCCTACTGAATTACGGTCTTTAGAGGAGGGGTCCAGGAACCTGTACGTCACAAAGGAGCGCAGGTGTATTTAGGATTCAGCAAATTTAGGACGTCGCTGTGGTGGCATGTGACGATGAGATGGGCCACTGGGGCGTTTGTAGGTCGGGTTGCTGCTGCTTAAGGAAGCCTCGCAGAATCCGTTTTGCGCTCGGCTGGCAAGTGAGGAGTGAGCTTCCTGAGGGGCCTGCTCCTGTCTCCCCTGCCGTAGGTAGTGATGGCCCCTCATGAACCGCTGGTGGTGTTTGTTGACAACTACATCAAACTCCTCACAGACTGCAACACAGAAACCTTCCAGAAGATACTGGACATGAAGGTTAGTGCAGGGTCCTGTTTCGTCCACACCTGCTCATCCACCTCACACTCAGCGGTTCTCAACCGGGGGGTTGGGATACAGGTTCCTGGGGGGCTCTCTCAAAATGCACGTGCCTGGCTCCACAGAGCAAACCGGATTCGGAGAAGCCTCTGGAGGAGGATGGCCCCAGGCCTGTGCACCTCGGGATTCCGACAGGCCCTGCATGCCCTGCTGAGGCCCCCTGCACAGGGAGGATGGGGCAGGGGCAGGGGGATGAGGACAGGAGTGTTGTCCTTCCCACCGTCTGGACCTGCCCCTTCTGTCTCAGCCCCTTCTTGACCTGCTCCTTCTTATCTCAGCCCCTTCTTGACCTGCCCCTTCTCCTCTCAGCCCCTTCTTGACCTGCCCCTTCTCCTCTCTCAGCCCCTTCTTGACCTGCTCCTTCTCTCTCAGCCCCTTCTTGACCTGCCCCTTCTTATCTCAGCCCCTTCTTGACCTGCCCCTTCTCCTCTCTCAGCCCCTTCTTGACCTGCCCCTTCTCCTCTCTCAGCCCCTTCTTGACCTGCCCCTTCTCCTCTCTCAGCCCCTTGACCTGCCCCTTCTCCTCTCTCAGCCCCTTCTTGACCTGCCTCTTCTCCTCTCTCAGCCCCTTCTTGACCTGCCTCTTCTCCTCTCTCAGCCCCTTCTTGACCTGCCTCTTCTCCTCTCTCAGCCCCTTCTTGACCTGCCCCTTCTCCTCTCTCAGCCCCTTCTTTCTCTTCCTTTACCGTTTCTTCCCCTCTCTTTTTTCTCCCGCACTACTACCCAGGGCTGATGAGTCCCCTGAGGACAGGGTTCGCCGTCAGCCTGGAGTAACTATGCTGTCTACAGAGCCTCTGCTGACCCCATACCCAGGTACCGCGCTCTCCCCTGTGGGCCGTTCTGGCCCAGACTTCCTGACGGTTCTCCTCTCTCAACCTCAGGGGCTGAAGAGGAGCGAGCAGAGCAGCATGCTGGAACTCCTGCGCCAGCGGCTCCCCGCACCGCCCTCAGGGGCGGAAAGCTCCGGCTCGCTGTCCCTGACGGCACCCACACCGGAGCAAGAGTCGTCCCGCATCCGCAAGCTCGAGAAGCTCATTAAAAAGAGACTGTAGCAGCAGCAAGGGGCCCTTGCTCCTGGCCGGCCACCCTCAGCACCCCGTTCCCCAGAAGCCCCCGACCCCTCCTGTGCTCCCGGCACTCTCACATCGTCGGTCTTCACGCTTTCGGGGACATGTGGGTTGTAAGAGTCTCTCCCAGGCCCTGTCTCACTTCCTGCCCTAATCGAAGATGCTGAGCAAGGGCTGGGCTCTGAGGGCGGTTTCGACGATCTCTGGTTCGCGAAGCAGAGGCAGCAGGAGGGGGAAGATCCCTCAGCTGCCCTTGACTCATGTAGCCTCCCCATGGCAGTCGCACCCTCTGACACACGGGCCCCACCGTGCACCCACTCATCCAGGCAACCTGAGCAAGGATGCCTGGGTCTCACTCCTCCTTCCCCTCCTCCCTCCCTCCTCCCTCCCTCCTCCCTCCCTTCTCCCTCCGTCCTCCCTCTCTCTGTGGCCGGCTGAGGTTTCCCCTTCTGCCAGAGCTGAGTTTCCTCTCCCATCTCTGGGCTTGGCCCTAGGGCCTGAGTTAATGAAGTGGCAGGTGACAGGCTCTTCATGGAGGCCGTGGGACCAGGCGTATTCCCATGGAAACCCCAGTTTCCTGGCCCATATTTTGTTTCTGATGCTTGTCATGACCTTACATGGCCAGTTATCCCTGTGTTCCCGCGGTTTCTCAGTTGTCTCCAAAGGAGAGATGTCCTCTGTGTCTGTCACCAGGAAGGGCGTATGTGCCAGGCCTTCAAGCAGGTGTCCTGTCTGCCCTGGGGCTCCTGACTTGGGTAAGGGCAGACCCAGATCTGACAGTGGCTCTGCCTGGCACACTCGCCGGGCTGTGTGAGCAGATTCTTTCCTTCTTTTTTTTTTTTCTTTTAGAGACGGGGTCTCTGTCACCCAGGCTGGAGTGCAGTGGCACGATCTAGGCTCACTGCAACCTCTGCCTCCTGGGTTCAAGCAGTTCTCCTGCCTCAGCCTCCTGAGTATCTGAGATTACAGGCGTGAGCCACCGCGCCCAGCCCCTTCCTCCAATTCTTTACTCCCACTCTGCACCTGGCTTCTAGGGAAGGGAAACCAGGAAGTTCACTTGGAAAACGTTTCCTAGGCTTTCTCATCCGATGAAGCCATGGGAACACTCAGAAGTCCATCCCCTCGAATCCCTTTCTGCCCACTCATCTTCAGGTCCACAGCACTTGCCAGCGTCATCTGAAATAGCAGAGGTGATGTGCAGTGTCCCATTTGTATGTCCCTGTGTCATGAGAGGGAGCCCGGGGTTGTGTGTTCCTGTGTCATGAGAGGGAGCCCAGGGCTCTGTTCCTGTGTCATGAGAGGGAGCCTGGGGTTGTGTGTTCCTGTGTCATGAGAGGGAGCCCGGGGTTGTGTGTTCCTGTGTCATGAGAGGGAGCCTGGGGTTGTGTGTTCCTGTGTCATGAGAGGGAGCCCGGGGTTGTGTGTTCCTGTGTCATGAGAGGGAGCCCGGGGTTGTGTGTCCCTGTGTCATGAGAGGGAGCCCAGGGCTCTGTTCCTGTGTCATGAGAGGGAGCCCGGGGTTGTGTGTTCCTGTGTCATGAGAGGGAGCCCGGGGTTGTGTGTTCCTGTGTCATGAGAGGGAGCCCAGGGCTCTGTTCCTGTGTCATGAGAGGGAGCCCGGCGTTGTGTGTTCCTGTGTCATGAGAGGGAGCCCAGGGCTCTGTTCCTGTGTACAGGAAGGAGCCTGGGGTTCTGGATGCCTCAGGAACAGAATATGGACCTTAAACACCAGGCTGAGAGCCTGGCCTGGCACGCAGCCTGCCCCCGCCTGCCCTTGCTGTCCACCACGGCTCTTTGCAGCAGGGCTTGCCAAAGAGAGTGCTCCCGGCCTCTTGCATCATCCTGCATCCAGAGAACAGGCAGCATATCGAGCCGTTACCCTGATTCACTCGGTTCCCTTGAAGCCAAGCCTCAGTTAACCATGACCACAGCTACAGCCAACCACTGTTGTCGCTGCCCACTTTTGCTCAAGAATGATATCTTGACAGGCACAGTGGCTCATGCCTGTAGTCCCAACACTTTGGGAGGCCAAGGCAGGAGGATCGTTTGAGCCCAAGAGTTCGAGACCAGCCCGGGCAACGTAGAGACCTCTACAAAAATAAAAATTTGCAAGGTGTGGTGGCATGCACCTGTAGTCCCAACTGCTAGGGAGGCTGAGGTGGGCAGATTGCTTGAGCTCAGTAGTTGGAGACCAGCCTGGGCAACCTGGTGAAACCAAAAATAAAAAAACTTGACCGGGCGTGGTGGCTCACGCTTGTAATCACAGCACTTTGGGAGGCTGAGGCGGGTGGATCACCTGAGGTCAGGAATTCGAGACCAGCCTGGCCAACATGGCAAAACCCTGTCTCACCTAAAAATACAAAAATTAGCCGGGTGTGGTGGCGGATTCCTGTAATCCCAGCTACTGGGGAGACTGAGGCAGGAGAATCACTTGAACCCGGGAGGCGGAGGCTGCACTGAGCCGAGATCACGCCACTGCACTCCAGCCTGGGTGACAGAGCAAGACCCTGTCTCAAAAAGTTTTCAGGACAGAGGAAATTTCCTGAAAATCCGTAAAACTCGTAACAGCCATACAGTAGGAACAAGGTTTGAAAATCTGCCTGGAAACCTAATTTCCTCGTCCCCACCTTGTTTGCCAGCATAACTACTGCTCTGTGCCCCTGCCCTCTCTGCCAGCCCTTCTCCCCGACGCCATCCAGCTCTGATCCTGAGCCTCATTTCTTCATCAGCTTCCAGAATGTCCTTGCTAGCCGGTATGACTCTCATGCATCGAGCATCTCAAATTCGAGAATGTGGAGGAGAAAGTAAGTGGTGTGAGAAGGGCGTGCAGCCTTTACTTGAGGTCTGTGAGGAAAAGATTCCAAATAAGACAAGGGCAGGGAGGGGGTCGGGAGAGCCCCCGGGAAGCCCTGTAGAAGGCCCCCCAGCCCACAGGGTTTCTGTGGTAACGCAGCCTGAGCTGTACAGTTGAGAAGGGGCAGTGGGGCCCATCTCCAAATAGCACAGCCAGTTCAGCCGTCTGTCCTTAACCCAGGAGAGCTGGGACAGCCAGTGGACTCCTGCACCTGGTTCTTGTCACTCCCAGTGTTTGTGTACAGATCCCCACTTCTCTTTTTGGTTCGTTGGATGAGGAAGTCGTTTTCCGGACGGTTCCATCACAGTCATTGAGCTGATCAAGCTCCTATGTTCTCCAACAGGTTAGGTGGTCACAGCCAGGGAAGTAATGCTGCACTTGATGTTGTATAGCCATTCGTCAGTAATCCCCAAGGAGCCAATGGATGTCAGTAGGAGTTCTGTTCAAGTGTCTCCATTGATAGGGACTGAGTACTGTGTTTAACAGGCGCTTTGTTTTCTCTTCTGGGGATGTGGCAGCAGGAACCACCTGGGGCGCCTTTAAAAACTACGGATGCCACGCCTGGCGCACGTGGCTCCTACCAACCTGGAATCCCAGCACTCCGTGGAGGGCCGAGGCCCGGCGCGTGATCACCAGCTCAGGAGATCCAGGACCATCCTGGCCAACATGGCTGGCACACCCCTGTCTCGTACTAAAAACTACCAAAAATAGCTGGCTGTGGGTGGGTGAGACGCCTGTAATCCCAGCTACTCAGGGAGCTGAGGCAGGAGAATCACTTGAACCGGGATGGTGAGGCTGCAGTGAGCCAGGATGCGCAGCACTGCACTCCGGCCTGGCGGCAGTGGACTCCATCTCAGAAAAAAAAAAAAAAAAACCATGCCTGGAGATGTTGAGTCCGTAAGTTTGGATGGGGCCTGGCATACAGGTTAAAAGTCCCGTAGGTAATTATAACGTTTGCACCTCGTTTTGAGCCATTGCAGCAGAGAGAGGTTTGCTTTGTGGAAGGGCTCCTGCCGCGCGTTTTCATGCGTGCCTGTGTTTCTGACTCTAAGCTACAAGTGTGCCGACATTGCACTTGAGCTGGCACCAGCGTGGTGGATTCTTTTTTTGTTTTTTTTTTTGGGACGGAGTCTCGCTCTGTCGCCCAGGCTGGAGTGCAGTGGCCGGATCTCAGCTCACTGCAAGCTCCGCCTCCCGGGTTTACGCCATTCTCCTGCCTCAGCCTCCCGAGTAGCTGGGACTACAGGCGCCCGCCACCTCGCCCGGCTAGTTTTTTGTATTTTTAGTAGAGACGGGGTTTCACCATGTTAGCCAGGATGGTCTCGATCTCCTGACCTCGTGATCCACCCGCCTCGGCCTCCCAAAGTGCTGGGATTACAGGCTTGAGCCACCGCGCCCGGCCAACAGCTTTCATTTTAAACTTGGGTTGGGCCGGGCGCAGTGGCTCACGCCTGTCATCCCAGCACTTTGGGAGGCCGAGGTGGGCGGATCACCTGAGGTCAGGAGATCGAGACCAGCCTGGCCAACATGGTGAAACCCCATCTCTGCTAAAAATTAAAAAAAAGCCAGGCAGGTGGTGGGTGCCTGTAGTCCCAGCTACTTGGGGAGGCTGAGGCAGGAGAATCACTGGAATCCAGGAGGCGGAGGTTGCAGCGAGCCGAGGTCCCACCACTGCACTCCAGCCTGGAAGACAGTAAGACTCAACTTTTGTTGGTGGGGACCATGCCAGGAATTGGGCTCTGAACATACTAATTAGGATTCTTCTTGTTTTGATGACCAAACCCCAAGCAGAAGCTTTATTTATTAACATCACTTCAAAAATAACGTATCAAAGGAGCACCCTAGGCCAGGTGCGGTGGCTCACACGCTTTGGGAGACTGAGGTGGGAAGATTGCTTGAGCCCAGGACTTCAAGACAAGCCTGGGCAACAGAGTGAGACCCCATCTCTGTTAAAAAAAAAATAGGCCGGGCACGGTGGCTCATGCCTGTAATCCCAGCACTTTGGGAGGCCAAGGCAGGTGGATCATGTGAGGTCAGGAGTTTGAGACCAGCCTGGCCAACATGGTGAAACCCCATCTCTACTAAAAATACAAAATAAGCCAGGCGTGGTGGTAGGCACCTGGAATCCTAGCTACTCGGGAGGCTGAGGCAGGAGAATCGCTTGAACCCGGGAGGCGGAGGCTGCAGTGAGCCGAGGTCATGCCATTGCACTCCAGCCTGGGCGACGGAGCAAGACTCTCTTAAAAAAAAAATAAAAGGAGCACCCATGGATGAAAGCAGCAGCTAACAGCTCTGTGATTCAGCCAAACCTAGATATCGTGCCCATTCCTTCCCCTCGGTCCATTTTCTCTAGCCCCTTTAAAAACCAAAAAACAAGCAACTTTGAAGTCACGTTGGGTTTAAAATAAATAGTGATAATTTATATAATCAATAAAGGGTTCAATCTGCTCTTACTTATGGGGACTTCTCTGAAAGCTGGCTTAGCGGTGCCTCGGCCAGAGAACATTCTGTGTGGACTCTGACAGTGAAACAGGAGGCGTAGTGGACAAGGGTTCTCATCTCCAAACCCAGCTCAGGGATTGAAGCTAACTACCGCCACTCCTTCCTCTCTGGAAGAACAAAGAGCCAGTACCCAGGACTCTGCCCATCCCCGAGAAGGGGTGCCTGATTTCTTACGTCTAGGGTGGCTCCTCCATGCAGATCAGACAGGACTGAGAGCAGACCAGCCGAGACCAGCATGACCAACACAGGGCAGGTCTGAGGCTGCTGCCTGATGCAGGGTATGGCACAAACCCTTCCTGAATTGCCTCGGATAAGGAGACCTGGTTCCCTGTTGACAGAATGCCAGGGGAAATGCCGCAAGTGCACAGCTGGAAATGGGATTCCTTCCCCAGGAAGAGCACTCGCAATAACCTGCCGCAACCTGCCTGCTTGAGGGTGACAGCAAGTGTCACACACTTCTTGCCAACTCCAAGTCAGATTCCTAAAAATAAAATAGAGCTGCACTGGGCCATTTAAGCAAAAGCCTTAGAAACATGGACACGTGGAATGCTAGCCTACATGACGGGTTCGATTACATTGTATATATTAAATAAAAATTCCCAGTTTAATATTCATCAGAATAGCCTCTTGGACCCTCGAAGTTCCACACCTTTGGGAAATACAAATTTCCTTAAAGGGATTTTTTTGTGTGTGTAAATAGCTTTCATTTTCTCCATCTGGAAGTGATTTCTCCCTGCATGTCAGAGCACAAAATACTGCCATTAATTAGAGCGTTACTGGATGTCATTTGCTAGAATGTATTTCCTTACTGCTGACAGAAAACAGAACAGACTCTAGGAAAGAATTAGCAGGCCCGTGACCTTGGCCCCTCCCAGCGGCTGCCCTCCCTTCCCTGACAGTCTAAGGAAGCAACGTGTGGGAGCAGAATGTGGCCGACCGAGCCCAGTCCTGGCCTGTCCGGTTGCAGTAGAGTCTCTGTAATGTGTAAAGTGTTCCGCTTCTGACTTGGAACCCTTCTTGCTCTGTGAATTTCTATCCTGTGAACATTCCCTTTTCTGTCCTTGCCGTTCCCCTCACAGCCTGCTCTTCCAGTGACCGCCAAGTGATTTCTCTCCTGCACGCGTGCGTCCATCCTGTTTCCTTAGTAGCTGGATGGACATTTTGCCATGAAAACTTTGGGAAGTCCTGTGTCCTTTCAACAGTGGAAAGCTGGCTGCGGCCCTTCCATGAGGCTCCAGGATCATTACCTCGTTTCCATTCTTTCTTTTCAACAGCTCCCCATTGTACTAGGGAAGCCAAGGGATCACCCTAATGAGAAAAGAACCTTCCCTGTAGCCCACCTGGAGGGGCATTGCCTGCCAGTTCCTTCCTTCTCAGCTACGTGGACAGGAGGGAAGAGGAGGTGGCGATCCGCGGGACATGAAGGACGTTTCCACTTGAAGTGAAAGCAGCCTGGGATTGGAAGCGTCCACAGAAGACCTGATCTGCAAGGCTTTGATGTGGACCTGGCTCTTTGACACTGGGCGAGTCACCGATCCCCTGAGCATCTGTTTTCAATATTGGTGAGAGGGGATTATAATGAATATTGGCTGTGAAGGTCACACAAGACCGGGCTATATGCACTTGCTCTGCAAAAGCCATAAGGCATTGTGAAGTGTGTGCGTGATCACCTGCGGGCAGGAGCCTGTGGCTGTCTTGCCTGGACTGGCTTTTTTAAACATGGCCGAGTGGTGACAAATCGTGCGGCCGTGTGCAGACTGCATCCGCAGCGAGCTCAGCATATCTGGTCTTTGCCTTTTTAGGTCATGGCTGTGATTTCCAGCCTACACGAGAGTTTTAAAAGACTGAGCAGGATCCCCTTCCCCTGGCAGCTGCTGCTTCCGTAGCGTTTAGGGACAAACCTGCAGACGCTGAGAAGAGAGCTTCCTCCCTCGTGGGGCTGGTGGCGAGGCTGCCTGTTGTGGAAAACAGGGCACATCTCCTGTGACTGCGAACCGCAAAGGTTGCCGGAGGCTCCCTTCCAGAAAACTCCCTTAGGTGTCTGGTGACCACAGAGCGGACACTTCTCCCGACAGGGACAAAAATTCTGCCTGCCTTTGTTTCTTTTTCTTTTTTGTCCTTTTACTTATTCTTGATTTTGTTTGTTTGTTTGTTTGTTTGTTTGTTTTTGCTATGATGCCCAAAAAACTAAGCAAGATTAACTTGGGACAGGCAGCTCTAACTGGGAACCCTGAGCTCGCAGGCTTCCCAGTTTGGATTACTTTCCAATTGTGTTTCAAAGATGTTTAGACTTTTCCCAAGGCCAGCCTAATCCTTGTAATCAGCCCAAAAGTTCCTCTCTGGCTTTGTCTGTCCCCTTTGAGGGTGTTGGCTCAGAGAACCTGGGGCGATATGAGATGTTAAAATAAAAATAATGTCCAGCGTCTGGGGCGATATGAGATGTTAAAATAAAAATAATATCCAGCGTCTGGGGCGATATGAGATGTTAAAATAAAAATAATGTCCAACGTCTGGGGCGATATGAGATGTTAAAATAAAAATAATGTGCAACGTCTCGCCCCCGGGAGTGCTGCTCACTTCATTCCAGGGCCCCAGGAGCTTCTGCTCAGTCATCAAATGGAATTTGCACAATTGTCTTCCTCCTGTTTGGGGTAATTTTTCAACAAGTGAGAAATTAAGAACAGCTTCTCAACAAACTTCCCTCTACTTCCAGGGCCAAGAAAAGTATTTGCAGAGTGGGCTGCAGCTTTCAGGGGTCTCAGGTGAAATGGTGGCAAGAAACCCCAGCTCCCTTCACGTGTTTGCTCTGTGCTGATGGAAAAGGAAGGCGTTTCTCTGCCGCCAAAAAGACCCCGTTCCACAGGGTTCTTCACAAAATCAAGCACTGCGATGGACCGACAGGAGCAGCCACTGGAGGGCTTTAGAAGACAAATGGAAAACATATCAAATGCTGTGTAAAGAAAACATCCGTTTACACATACAGCCCCCCACAGCCTCATACCCACACCCGATATGAAATGCTGTATAGACATCAGTTTACACACACACAGCCCCTCACAGCCTCATACCCACACCCAATATCAAATGCTGTATAGACATCAGTTTACACACACACAGCCCCTCACAGCCTCATACCCACACCCAATATCAAATACTATATAAACATCAGTTTACACACAGCACAGCCTCATACCCACACCCAATATCAAATACTATATAAACATCAGTTTACACACAGCACCTCACAGCCTCATACCCACACCCGATATCAAATACTATATAAACATCAGTTTACACACAGCCCCTCACAGCCTCATACCCACACCCGATACCAAATACTATATAAACATCAGTTTACACACACACAGCCCCCCACCGCCTCATACCCACACCCGATATGAAATGCTGTATAAAGAAACATCAGTTTACACACACACAGCCCCTCACAGCCTCGTACCCACACCCAATATCAAATGCTGTATAAACATCAGTTTACACACACACAGCCCCTCACAGCCTCATACCCACACCCAATATCAAATGCTGTATAGACATCAGTTTACACACACACATCCCCTCACAGCCTCATACCCACACCCAATATCAAATGCTGTATAGACATCAGTTTACACACACACAACCCCTCACAGCCTCATATGCACACCCAATATCAAATGCTGTATAGACATCAGTTTACACACACACATCCCCTCACAGCCTCATACACACACCCAATATCAAATGCTGTATAGACATCAGTTTACACACACACAACCCCTCACAGCCTCATATGCACACCCAATATCAAATGCTATATAAACATCAGTTTACACACACACAGCCCCTCACAGCCTCATACCCACACCCAATATCAAATGCTGTATAAACATCAGTTTACACACACACAGCCCCTCACAGCCTCATACCCACACCCAATATCAAATGCTGTATAGACATCAGTTTACACACAGAGAGTCCCACAGCCTCATACTCATGCCTCTTACATGCTTGCACGGCCCTAAAGGAGCCAGAGCATTGGCTCAGCAGCTGGCCAGCTCGGAGGTCAGAGGAGGGTGCTGAGGGGAGTGGAGGTCAGTTGGGGTATCCCTGGGCCCTGGCTGCACAGTCCAGCTGCCGTGTGGCCTGCCTGTATTACCTTTGGTCATGAGAGGATCTGGGCGATTCAGGGCTATCTGTACATGTTGGTGGGGTGGGAAGGAAAAGGTAACTGCGTATTTACTGTGTCCTGGATATGTTATCACATCTCATTGGATCAAATTCCTGCTAAGTTTACCTCCGTGTACCGGATGGGACTTGGAGGCTCAGAGAGGGTAAGTGACAGGCCCAAGGATATGTGGCTAGTATGGGGGCGTGCCAGGATTTGATGTGTGACTAGTGAGGGGTGAGCCAGGATTTGATGTGTGACTAATGAGGGATGGGCCAGGATTTGATATGTGACCAGTGAGGGATGGGCCAGGATTTGATATGTGACTAGTGAGGGATGGGCCAGGATTTGATATGTGACCAGTGAGGGGGGAGCCAGGATTTGATATGTGACCAGTGAGGGGGGAGCCAGGATTTGATATGTGACTAGTGAGGAGTGGCCAGGATTTGATATGTGACTAGTGAGTGAGGGATGGGCCAGGATTTGATATGTGACCAGTGAGGGATGGGCCAGGATTTGATATGTGACTAGTGAGGGATGGGCCAGGATTTGATATGTGACTAGTGAGGAGTGGCCAGGATTTGATATGTGACCAGTGAGGGGTGAGCCAGGATTTGATATGTGACTAGTGAGGGATGGGCCAGGATTTGATATGTGACTAGTGAGGGATGGGCCAGGATTTGATATGTGATTAGTGAGGGGTGAGCCAGGATTTGATATGTGGCTAGTGAGGGATGGGCCAGGATTTGATATGTGACTAGTGAGGAGTGGCCAGGATTTGATATGTGACTAGTGAGGGGTAAGCCAGGATTTGATATGTGACCAGTGAGGGGTGGGCCAGGATTCGATATGTGACTAGTGAGGGGTGGGCCAGGATTTGATATGTGACTAGTGAGGGATGGACCAGGATTTGATATGTGACTAGTGAGGGATGGACCAGGATTTGATATGTGACTAGTGAGGGGTGACCAGGATTTGATATGTGGCTAGTGAGGGATGGGCCAGGATGTGAGGGATGGGCCAGGATTTGATATGTGACCAGTGAGGGGTGAGCCAGGATTTGATGTGTGACTAATGAGGGGTGAGCCAGGATTCGATATGTGACTAGTGAGGGGTGGCCAGGATTTGATATGTGACTAGTGATGAGTAAGCCAGGATTCGATATGTGACTAGTGAGGGGTGGGCCAGGATTTGATATGTGACTAGTGAGGAGTGGCCAGGATTTGATATGTGACTAGTGAGGGATGGGCCAGGATTTGATATGTGACTAGTGAGGGGTGAGCCAGGATTTGATATGTGACTAGTGAGGGGTGGGCCAGGATTTGATATGTGGCTAGTGAGGGGTGAGCCAGGATTCGATATGTGACTAGTAAGGGGGTGAGCCAGGGTTTAGCTCAAGCCTTCATTCCAACATCCGTGCCCTTTGTACTACACCAGCAATTTTCAAATTTATTGGACAAAATTTTACACTGGATTGCCACTATACAAAACAGATAAAAGTATTTTATGAATATATGAGTTCAAATATTTTTCACAGGAAATCAGTAAAAGCATTGAAACTATTCCAGTAAATAGGAAGCATTTTAAACCAAGGTTATGGATGAAAATGTATATGTATCAACCCCAGTTTACTTCTGGGTTTTGCTTTGGTTGCACAGAATAGAGAAATCTTGATGTAATCCAGCTAAGAATTTGCAAATAGTATCCATTTTGTTTTGTTTTAAACAGCTCTTCTCGGAGTGGTAGAGGCTCTTCAATTAAACAGAAGTGGCAAGAGACTCTTTGTCTCCTGAGTCTTCACGGCGGTGAGCAGCCCTTGGAGTAAGAGGTTAACACAAGCAAGGGCCTCCAACATCTTACATTTGCCCCAGAAGACATTTGAGGATGCGCGTTGCATTATTACCATTTTTAATGTTTAGTTTTTAGAACTAAAACTAAATGCATTTTAAAAGTGAAGTTAGGGCCGGGCGCGGTGGCTCACGCCTGGAATCCCAGCGCTCTGGGAGGCCGAGACCATCCTGGCTAACACGGTGAAACCACATCTCTACTAAAAATACAAAAAATTAGCCGGGCCTGGTGGCGGCGCCTGTAGTCCCAGCTACTCGGGAGGCTGAGGCGGGAGAATGGGGTGAACCCGGGAGGTGGAGCTTTCAGTGAGCCAAGATCGCACCACTGCACTCCAGCCTGGGCGACAGAGCGAGACGCCATCTCAAAAAACAAACAAACAAACAAAAAGGGAAGTTAGAATAAAACTTTTGTAGAGGTTCTCCACCAAAACATCACTGAAGATTTCCAGGTTTCCCCAGGTGTCCGTTTGGAAGCTGCTGCCCTCCTTGACACATGTCGCTCATTGTTTTTCTGGATTAGATGGGAGGGGAGGCTTGGCACTGTCACCTAGTACAGGAAAGGGCACGGTTTGACTTGAGGTAGCCACCCATTCAACAATAGCACCTAACCTCTCTCCCAAATTCTGTGCAAATTCAGGTTGAGCATCCCTAACCCGATGTGCTCCGGCCCAGGAGTGTCTTGGAGTTCAGCTTCTTTTGGATTTTGGAATGTGTGTATTATATACGTACCAGTTCGGCATCCCTAATCGGAAAATCCCTAATCCAGATTGCTTCAATGAGCGCTTCCTCTGGGTGTCATGTCGGCACTCGAAGTGTTTCGGATTTTGGAGCATTTTGAATTTCGGACGCTCGACTCGTAAGGCTGGGGGGCACAGTTGAGGCCTTGTGGCCTTTGGAAATAACATGTGAGAACTCTGAGTAACCCCTGGTGCAAGGCAGACACGTTCTGAGAACAAAGCAGTGTCACCGGGATGGAGGAGGGGTTTGGTCAGAGTGAGGTGGGCAATCAGAAGCACCTGATCCTTCCAAAAAGCCCCAAATCTTGCGCTGGAGACCTGGCATGACCGCGTAGGCAGCGCTTCCCGACCTTTGCAGCCAAAAGTGAGGACATGAGTAACTCCTGTTGCCTCAACAGAAGAGGCTGCTGGGCCTGGGGACACCCGCCTCCCTCCCCAGCCCCGAGGCTAAGGGGATGAGTATCTGCTCATTTGCCGGATACCTTTGCGGTGGCCCCAACTCTCCAGTTGGGAAACTCGGAATTGGGGCATGAAGGTTGGAATTAGAACGTCGGGGTTGGGGGGCCTGTTTGTTTCCGTGTCGGGAACTCTGTCAAAGTCCCTCCGTTTGTAGATGGGACCCTGAGATCTCAAGAGTTTCGATCACTGGCTTACTCCCCGCCATAGAAGAGGAGTGGCAAAAACTAAACCACCCGTGTACATGCCGCTCTCCATACCACACCGCTTTCCCTAGCTGTCCAGTCCTGGGGTATGTCCTTCGCCCCACCCAGTCCTCAGAGATTGTCCCCTTTCGCCCTCTGCTTGCAGAAGTGAACACGGGTCCCCCCGCTTTTCCTGATCCCACTCCCCCCACAGCCCGTCGGTTTTCTTAGTGCGTCAAGGGGAGTCCACCGCCCCCATCCACACATGCATTCCCGCCGAGCAAGTCAGCCTCCATCTCAACCTCTGTCCTGACCCTGCTCTCGAAGGTCACCCGTGCCCTTCTTGCCGACTCACATCTGTCCTGACCCTCATGCTGAAGGTCACCGATGCTCTTCTAGCCCGACACATTCTTCACCTACAGATGGTTCCCGACCTACGATGGTCCCGCTTAACGAGTTTTCGACTTTACAATGGTGCAAAAGTGATTCGTGACCAGTACAAACCCTACTCGGAGCACCTGTACAGCCGCTGTTTTCTCCTTCAGTGGGAACAGATGCGTAAGATGAATCACATGAGACAGTCAACACTCTATTGTAAAATAGGCCTCCTGTTACGGGATGTTGCCGAACTGCGGGATACTGTGACTGTTCTGAGCATGCGTAAGGTAGGCTAAGCTATGACATTGGGCAGGTTAGGTGTATTGAATGCATTTTTGACTTAACATGTCCAACTTACAGTGGGTTTATTGGGACGTAACATTCATCAGTGGAGGGGCATCTGTGTGTGAGTCCCCCTCCCCCCCAGGATTCTCCCTTAACTGCGTGAGTCCCCCTGTCCCCGGATCCTCCCTTAACTGCGTGAGACCCTGTCCCTGGAATCCTCCTACTGGCGTGAGTCC